AATTACATGCATTTTAGGGAAAACCTATGCCTTTTCAAGAAAGGAGAAAGTTATTATTGACGAGAGGGATGAATTCTCCCGTCAACACCCGAAACAGCTCCCGAGTCGAAATGATCTGTTTTCCATTTGTGCGAGCACTCGATGCGAGAAGTAACTAGTGGTTAAGTTTCCTCTCCAGATCCATTATCTATTATATCAATAATATGAATCATTCAGTTTACTCGAAGAATAGAGTACAAGAATGTTGCCTTTTGGCAACATCCGGCCGCAAGGATACAAAAAGGTGGGAATATTGAATTATTTTTCCTCGATGGAAGTCTAATAATTTGCTGTTAGTTTTAGTCCAAATTATCAAACAAAAGCATACTTTGTTTATCTGCCCACCTCTTACAGCCTCAATGTGCGATATATTCCCATAATACTCAAAAACTTTCCGAGATAGTGCACATTTCACCTATTTTCCCCAGAGAAGCTCACAAATTCAGCGAGATTCTAACAAGATTTATAGTACATCATAGTATTCCTATTCAGACTACTATAAAACATTACTAGTTTTGTTAAAATCTTACTAAATTCATGGGCTTCCCTAGGGAAAATAGGTGAAATTTGCACTATTTCAGAAAATTTTTGAGTATTTTGGCAATATATTGCACATTGAGGCTGTAAGAGGTAGGCAGATAAACAAAGTATGCTTTTGTTTGACAATCTGGACTAAAACCAACAGCAAATTATTGGACTTCCATCGAGGTAAAATAATTCACTTTTTCCAACTTTTTGTATCCTTGCGGCCGGTTGTTGCCAAAAGGCAACATGTTGGCGTTCGGCTCAGTATCAGTTCTTTTAACTCCAAGATGGATTTCGGTAACCTCCACATCTAAGAGACAAAGAATATATAGAAGGAGAATTTTTTGTTTGCTATCTTCTAGTAGCCGGCCGTAAAGGGTTAAGCAACAATTTATGTAACCAAGTAGCAATTTCCTTCGTGCTCTTTTCTATAGTTCTCGATTTAAAAGTAGGAAGAGCAGGAATGGATGAGATAGACTAACCATCTTTCATCTTTTGCATGTGCTTCTAAGTAATGCAGGTACGACAGGAAATGGCCCGAATCCGTAGAATTCATGTTGATTTCGTGTGTCAACATACAAAACGCATCTCATCTCCATTTTCAGTTGAGCTTTCGCTTTTTTGCTTCACTTAGAAACGATGTCCCAATGTGCTGATAATTCCCTTGACGATTTCGAAGAAAGAATTTATGAATTCCTTCCAATCACTGGATACGGGTACAATAGTGTCCTTACCGAAACTAGGATGCTACCATTTCTAATATGGCTCCTGACTACGCACCCAATGTCAGATACGATGTCTGAAGGAAAATTGTCATGTGTAGCCTTGGCGTTTATGTTAAAGTAATTAGACGTTTTCTATCGATGTTCCCAAAGACTGAATTAAGTTTCGATACCAAAGATATAGGACATATTGGAGATATAATAGAGAGACCATGTGAGTCTGTTCTTCTCACTCTCATCTGGCGAGAGCTACCAGTCTCTTGATCCCATATTCTAAAAAACCTCGTTTTCTCACAAACTGAAACCCCATCGGAAACTCTTTCGAAAACCATGGACGTATCCGAAACGATGTCTAGACTCATGTTAAGTTTCTGAAAATACCTTGGTTTTTGAACATCCGAAAACCTATAGGTATTCGAAAGAAAGGCTCGAAAATCCTCAGTCGTATTCATGGAAACCGTGATGATATTTCAAAAACTAGCTTTCGATTTAAAAGCTTTGCCGAGAATCTTTGTAGACTTTGTGGTGCCCAAAAGCGGACGAAGCGTTTGGAAGAAATCAAACCTAGTTTTCCAGCATATCTCCGAATCATTTAAGGGTTTTGAGTCCTCAAAAAATCCTTACATTTTCCAGCAAAGTTTCTGAAGCCCATTCAGTATTCGTGGACATCGAAATAGCATTTAGATATCATTTTATTTTGATGCTCATGTTCATGTCATTGTTTTAATGGTTTAACGACTTGCTCGACCTCCATGATGTCAATTATATTTAATTCGTATCGAATTGTTTTATAAACTTATTGGAACGCTAAGGAACCAAAAAATACTTTGTATCCAAGAGAATCTCTACTCTTTTTCACACTTTTCAGTAGCTGAAACTTTGAATAGATTATAACAACTTTTACTATAATTATCAAAGATATGTGCAGTAGACAGTCACGTTATTCGAAGAACGTTGTCCTTTTTCTTATTCATTCATTGATGATCCTTCCAAGTAGAAGCATTTTTCATTATCGTCAACAGACTGTAACGAGATACGTGCAATTTTCCTAGATCTTCTTCGACCAATTGATACAGGAGAGTCGCAGGAGAAGAATGGCCGATTCATGAAGAATTCTTAACGGAGAACAAGTGGATGTGGGTGCGTGCGTGGCTGTGGCTATGCATGGAGGAAATATTAACACCCACACCACCCACACTCTTTTTGTGTACTCAAAAAGTGAATACACTATAGGATCTGTCAGTGTGTCCGGCCGGCCGGCCGTGTACACGATAACTCTTTAAAGGGTAGTCCGATTGTGATGAAATTTTGCACACAGAATCGTCTCATCGATATCTCGGGGTGTGGATGTGAATGTAGGGTGTGGAGGTTAATATTCTCTTGGATCCTACCGATATCCACACCCACACCCAAGATTTCGTTAGGAGAATTCCTTTCAGCTCATTTTTGGCCAACAATATGTTTTTCTTATTTAAAGAGATAACGCCCTAAATACAGTTAATTGCGTTTATTTTATGGCTCGATCGAAGATTTTTATAAATAGTTTCATTAACCAGGACCACTGAGATCAAGTTGCCATTGAATTATTAAATTTCGTCAGAAAATATTTAAACATTTTTCTTATTTCAAATTCTTAGCGTTAAACAAATATTTGACTTTTTCATTGGAAAGTAGATATATGATGTACTCATTTATCCTAAAACAAATGCCAACATGACATTATTTAGATAATAAATAGTATTGATATCGCCTTTATTGTCGCTATTTTACGTATATCAACTTTGTGTACTACTCTATTAATCATATTTTACTTTCTGTATTGTTTTCTCCTCGTTTCTGCTAGTTATTTGCTTTTGTTGTAATCACGTGATTTTTAGAGCTGTTCCATTTGATATAAGCGTAAATATAGACGGAATATAAAAAGAAAGAAATGCTATGTAAACAATTCTCTTTCTAACTATTATTTTTCTATTGATTAGAATCTGAAAAACTTCTATAGCAAAAGGAGTGTAGGTGTAAATCTTCTTTTAACTGCGACTCTTACATTCTCGAGCTGTATTTGAAATTGTTGAAAGAAGAACCAATTTGTCTGTCCTCTTCTCATAATATCTCTAATAGTATAGATCGTGAGTAATACAAACGATCGTTCTTGTCATCAAGTTTTGTTTGATCGATTATCTCAGCTAATTAAAGAATCGTTTGATAAAATAGACAATAAATCGTTCGTTCCATTACATAATGTAAATCATAGGTAAGAAAACACTAATCGTAGGAAAGACATATAGTTCTCTATTTGTATTTTCATTTGTTTTTAGTTATATCAATCAATCAATCACTATCCGAATTGAGTAGAAGAATGATTACTTTTTCTTCTTGCCATCATACAAGGAAAACTAACATGTTTCTTTAGTGAAAATTCGAATAGTCAACGAGTGTAAAAGATGAAACTGTCATGTTAATATCAATTATTTTTGCAAAAGATCCATTAGAATGATCTGTCATTCCGATGAGATTTTCATTTGACATGTGATCTAGAGAGGGGCACTTCAGATCTATAGTTCAAAATATAATTCAAATGATTATCTATTCACATTTCAATGTTAAACAAATAAAATCGTCTATTTAATCAGACGAAAACTATGGATTTCTTTAAAATTTTGAGTCAATTTTCTTACTGTTTATCGAAATTTCATCTCAATGACAGATCCTTTTTTTTTATATATATTTTTTGGAATTTTTTGCAAAAATGACTGATTTTAAAAAGATTCCATAGTATCCTGCATCGGGGAAACAAGCGTCCCTAGATTTTCTCTTTCGATTGGTAAAAACTGTAGATCTCTGACTGTTTGCATTCCCGAGTTATTCAAAAAATAGTAGAGCACATTACATTTTGAAAATAAACAATAGTAACTTTTCATGCTACTCTCAGAGAAATATTGAACATTGCAAGTTCAATTTAGTATCAATTTATCAATTGATTTTTTGAAAAGTTAAACTAATTTATGATACCTTCATAAATTGACAATTTTAAATCGTTGACTGTTCTCAGTCTCAAGCTATTCAAATTATAACTGAAATGCCTGTATTTTTCAAGAGACTGTTTTCATGTTTTCTTAAATCGATCCCATTTCGATTAACTTTGATTTAATCTCAAATGATGATTTCTGCGCAAAAGGGTATAGCATGAACGAGAACAATGACATAAACGAGTGATGTGATCAGGATGACAAATAATGCTACTCAAAATGTAATCATTAAAAAGAGGCTAGTATTTTCATGCTTCTTTTATTCATCAAGATTAAACGTCTTGTTCTTTTACTTAAATACAAACTCGTTAGTAAAACTACTAATAGTATTTAAAATGTCGTTCTTATAATAGGTGATTAATTTTAAAAAGTAGGCAAATGATCAAAACAACCTGATAACTTGTTCAACATCATACTGTATAGAGAATATATGATAGAAATAGTGACCACTTTTTTTTTGTGTTTAATCAAAATAAAACTCGATTACTAATAAACATCTCTGTTGATATTTATGTTGCATGAATCGATTTTTGAAAAAGTTAACTGTATAAATAAGATATACAAAATTTAGATTTCAGGTTAGAAATTGAAATTTGTTTATTTATACAAGTGAAATAAGTAACATGATAAAAAAAAGGATGAATGTACATGGAATCAAAAAAATGAAGTTTTCACTAGATATTCTCTCTTAAAATTTGGTAAGAATCGGTGATGATGCTACTTTTGGAAGATTATTATTATCTTGGGTAAAATCTTGTTCAGTATCATTTGTTTCATGATGAAATTCTTCAGGCTTATATGTTCGAAGATAGACAAGCCAAAGTAATGGACATGTCATAAATGTTGTTACAAGAGCCATTATAATAAACATAGTAAATAGTCGAGGTGAAAGTATATGAAGTTGAAGTCCAATATTTAATGCAATAAGTTCAACTAAACCTCGTGTATTCATTAATATTCCAACACTTCCTGAAAATTTCCATGAACGTTTTGTTATTAGTTTCGTCATGAATAATGCTGGTAAAAATTTAGCCAATGTCGCAACAGCAAAAATAAGTACAGTTATACCACCATAAAATCTATCATTTAACGAACCTAAACTTGTTCTCATACCACTAGCAGCAAAAAATAATGGTAATAATAATTCAACAGTAACTAATTCTAATTTTGGAAATAATTCAACATTAAATTGACCTGATTTTGGACATATTATACCAACAACAAATGCACCAAAAAATGAATGTATACCAAGTATATCACAAAAAAATGCTGATGCAATAAGAAGAAGAAATATACTTATAAGAAATGTACGACTCATTTCATTATTATGTTTTACGAAATAGTTATGTGCCCAGTTAATCAATCCTCGAACAATAGTAAACATAAATATAACATAGCCAATTGATATTAATATAACCCTATATATATATATATCATAAGATTTTATTTATTAATAATTTATGTTTATCTTTTTTGGTATACTTACCATAAACCAATAATACCTGATCCTTTAGCAAATGCACCAGCTATAGCTAATGAACACCAACCCATAATATCATTCATTGCTGCACAACTTATTGTTAGAGTACCAATTGGAGCCGATAAAAGTTTAGTCGATGTAAGAATAGCTGCAAGTACTGGAAAAGCAGTAAATGACATACTTGATGCTGCAAATAAAATGAATGCTGTTTTATCAGGTGATTGAAATCCATTTCGATTATTTATATCATATAAATAAACAGACATAGCTGCACCAGCTGCATATGGTACAACAATAGTACCGATTGATATTGGAAGAGAATATTTCCATTGACGTTTAAGTTGTTTTTGTTCAAGTTCTAATCCTAAATTGAACATAAATAAAATAAGACCAATATTACCGACTAATGTAAAATAATTCCATGATGATGGAGGAAATACACGTTTTGACCAAAAATCAATATTACCCAATACGGATGGACCAACAATTATTCCAGCTATTATTTCACCAATAACCTAGGATTTATTATTTATAGAATTACACATATATTATATCTATAAGATTTATTTCTTACTGGTGGTTGTTTTATTAATGAAAGTAACCATCCCATTATTCGAACAAGTACAAGAATAATAAAGACTTGCATTAGAAAACGAGCCCAATAATTAACATCTAATGATGGATCGGCAAATATGTCAACCATTATTGAATGATTGTTATATTATAGTAAGAAAGTGCATACTAAACGAAATACATAATTTGAATATTTATATTGTACATAACATCACATTCGCAACCGGTTCGAAAACCAGCTACTATTCCTGTTTCTTTTCGCTACGCATAGTCAGCTTGAATTGGTATAATAGGTAACTCTTCTCGCTTTTTCTCATTATTCATATTTTTTTTTTCGTTCTACAGTTACTCTCTTCACTTGGTTGATGCTTCTTGTTTATAGTTAACCGAATAATTATGTTTTTTAGATTTTGTTTATAATGACTGAAAATTGTTCGATCTATATTAAATTAGTAATAATTATTTGAACTGTTCGAAAGAAAGAAAGATAATACATAAAAACTGTTCGTACAGTAATAGAAAATGTATTGATGAAAAAGAAAATATTTTCGATTCGAAGAGATGAGAATATCATTGTTTATGTTGGCGAACACTAATGAATTGGAAGTATTGAAAGAATAAGACATCATTTGAATTAAAACAAGATAATTTAAAAGTATGATATTGACTATTGATAGAAATTTGTCTAAAATAAAATCGAGTTTTTCTTCAAATTCTTATTCATCATCAAATTGAACGAAAAACTGGACGGACACATGCTATTAACAAAACGATATTCACTATGTAGATCGTATTCACTTAATATAATATGTCTTTTACATAACTTTGTTATTAAGATCGACACAAAAACCAATAAATCATATTAGAAAGAAAAACGAACGAAAATGTAAGAAAGTTATGCATACATCACATCATCAACATATAGACAAAACAGAAAATATCAAACGACAAAAAAAGAAAAAGAGAGAGCAGTCATTGATCATCGATAAAATAGTTCGTGTCTATAAAGAGATATCATTCTTTATTATCTTCATTGATGCAATCACGTAAATATTCGAAGGTTGAGAAATGATTTCTGACTGAATCAATCGTTCATTTTTCGTTTCTTTGAAAAATTGAATCAATTGATTTTTAAAATTAATCTCGTGCTAATTCTTGCTATAAACAATTGCTCTAATAATGTGATCATGCATATGATGAATAGTATATGATATGTATATTATACATAAAAACTCTCATCAGATATTTCATCATTAAATCGACTAAACAAACTATGATTATATATCATACGATGCAACACAAACTCTTTCTTAAAACTATCTACAAAACAAATGGTATTCATATGATTTTCGAGTAATTTTACTATAGTATACATATTAAATACAAAAATAGGTAAAAGATGATTCCTACTTAAAATACTTGTTTACTTACTCTATTTATCGAAAAGACTCAACCATCAGGTATTCGAGATATGTTATTGTAAGTATGTTATAGAAAATGACATTTATATCGGACTTTCATATGCTTATAAACAATCTTCGATTGTTACTGTATAAAGATAGTTATTATATAAAAAATATATAATCTAGATAGAAAATCATAATAGAATAGAAATATTTTCTCTCTCTTGTTGTAATTAAGTTTAATTATAGTTTTTTCATTATGTTGACACATTATTATGTTAATTAATATCATTACTTCATATTCAAGGTTCTATGAATCTTTAATTATTTGCTCTAACATAATTAATGTCATTATTATGTTATTAAGTTAAAAAAGTTTTTTTTAATATAAAATAAGATTGATGATCCTCTATAAAGTGAATGAGCAAGATATGATAGAATAGAAAATCGAATCATTATTATCGAATAGAAATTGATTATTGGCGTAAGATGTCTTCATAGAGGGTGTCGAATAACTATTCATTTCCTCAAATAATAATATTCTCTTTGATGTTTATTGATTAGAAGATATTGATATTCACCGTATATATATATATCCTATTATGTATCTATAATTAATTCAATGTTAGAATTTGAGCGTTCTTATTGTCATAGTTCTATAGATACAACTGATATTATGTTCATGGAAAATTTTGATTAGTTTTTCAAAATAATCGATGATATATCAATAATAACAGAGATAATATATTTAAATTTTGTTTGATTTTTCTATACTAGATCAATTTATCTTTTTTAATAAAAATATTCAGCGTTATATTCTCTTGAAACCTATTAATAGTATCATATGACGATGAGGTGCATGAGGATGTATATGTTTGTTTGTGTGCGTGTGATTGAGAATATTTTCTAGATACTTCTTCACTGATCAACAGGCAAATTCTTAACAAATATAAATCAATAATTGAAAGAATGAAACAATAGACAAAAAATAAAGCGCAAGTCAATAGTTTACTAAGGAAAAAATCTAAGTTACATCGAAAATGAAAATAAAACTTCATTATCTAATTAGTCAAATGTATTTTTCAAGGATAAAATTGTGTTTATTAAAGTTTTAATTCTATTATCAGAAACTATATGAAGATGTTCGTCATGAAATATCTCGTTAATTTATTAAATTTTTCATTAAAATGATATTAAAATACAATTCAGTAAAAGTTAAAAAATAATTTTTTTGTTCCAGTAAGTCGATATCATATTGTTATGTGTTCACTTATATATTTATCAGCTTCATACATTTATATAACTATCACTATTCAGATTTAATATATACAAATGGATATTATCAAAAAGTTTAAATAAATAATTTCTATGAGCACTAATTATTTAGCATGTATCATCCATCATTCATATATATACATATATGAGTGAATTGAAAAATTATTGTATCGTTCTGTAAAAAAATGGACGAAAAAAAATTTTAGATTTTTAAAACGGTGATTAGTGCAATCTATGGTACTACATGAAAAGATTCTCGATTATCGCTATCAAATTGGCCAAGATATGAGAATTTTTTTAACATTACTGTTTAAATCTAAGATCATATGACTTTGGCAGTACATGACTCAGTCGAATTTTTCTACTGTATTTTAGATTTTAACATTGAGTTTTTTCTTTTTAATGAGGAACCATGTTTATCCTAGACGTAGCACCTCGAACAGCATGATTCGTCCTAAATTATATTTGGTTTTTTTACACTTACCAAAACTATAAAATTTGCAAATATGCAATTAATAAGAGAATGTATATAATTAGTGACCTTTTTACTATGAATTAATTAACTTGTGAGACACAATCTAGTATTAATTGACATGTCTCCTGATAGCTCTTTAAATATGAAATCAATTTATATATAATATATTTATGTTGGTTTCAGCTACGGGATAGTTATGCGCGTAATAATCTTGAGGAACATTTTTACATTATATTTACTCTTTTGTACGAAAGACAAACTTTCTGATCTTGATATTTTGAACAATATTTGATCACAACGAGCGGATAAAATGATCAAAGTTTCGACTGAATCTGCCATACCTTAGAAGAGTTATACTTATACGTCAAACAAAATAAAAAATCTTTCGTGACATTTAGTATGAACCATTATTTTTTTAAAAATATATTTCATACTTTATTTTAACAAAAACTATCATAACTTTTTCATCGTCTCTGGCCATTTTTATTTCTCCTCTCTGTTGAATTTCACTCAACATCAATCCGACCAATTTTTGATGTGTCGTTACAAGCCAAAGCCATTTTTAATTTCATGTGACAGCAATTTGAGGATTGACTGTATATAGAGTATAGAGAAAAAATTATCGTAAGAAATGACATGGAAAAACCAATCAGTTTTATATCCGATAAGTACAATGTGTCAACTGTAATATTATCACCTTTTGTTGAAGTTCGAATAAAAGGAGAATCAACCGAATATATGGTACTTTTTTTTTCAACAGGTGGTAGTAAAAATTTATCTTTTTAATCTTGCGCATTCAATATCTCGAGACTGGTTTGAGATAAATTCGTGATTTTTTTGTGCAGTAGTGGGGACTTACTAGAGTAGCATACTCGGAAAAAAATCCTAAGGATTGATTGAGAGAAACTGAAGATATTAAATTTTTACGTCTAAGAATATAACGGGACAATAATTTTGCAATTCACTCATATGTATATATAATTATATTTTGTAAATTGAACTAATACTCTTTGATATGATGTTTGATCTTTATATAAAATCTTCTTTATTAATTCATAGGGAAAAGCTGTTAGCGCAATCCCTTGCGGGATTAAAAATGTGAAACACGATGGACCTATTGTTACTAATTAAATGGAAATCCTTTTGTTCCATTTCCTTACGACACATTTGTAGCTGACCGTATATCTGATACTTTACAACTACAGTTTCTGTGTCACGGTCTGTGATGGGTACCCGAGTTCTCTGTCACGGTCTGTGATGGGTACCCGGATTCTCTGTCACGGTCTGTGATGGGTACCCGGGTTCTCTGTCACGGTCTGTGATGGGTATGAATTTTCTCTGTCACGGTCTGTGGGGGGGGCGGGGGGGAGTGGGTCCAAAATTTCTACCCTAAACACTTCAACACTCCTTTCAGATCGTGTTTCACAAAATAAATAGATTAAATTTATTTATTGTGAATACAGGATCTATTTAACATGAAGGAAAACAATATAAGTATAGATATAATATGTGTTAGATTCAATATATGATTTATCTAATTGTTTATCAGATCGATCGATTAACTATTGTTTAAATATTTGAAATCAGTTTTTCTTTTTTTCTTTTTATTGATTATATTCATGATTATTTATATTTATATTCGACAATATTTAATAAACATCGACCAAAGATATATTTATATTATCATATTTGAAAAGGCTTAACAATTTTTTATTTTTAGAAATTGATCAATTTTCTTTTCACTTTTCACAGATGAATTTTAAGTAATAATTAAATGATTCTTAACTATTATTAGAACTTAATAATTCAGTATAGTTTAATCATATTTTTTTTTTGTTCTTTATATATTTGTTGATTAGTCAAAAGAAGCAAATAAAGTTTCGAACGTCCTAAATTATCTTATTTATCAATACATAGAATCAATGAAATATTTGATACAAATCTTCGACATTAATTAGAAAATAAAATTCATTCTTATTCCGACATTGATTATTATATGTTTAATACCGATAAACGTACTTGGCATGTTATTTATTGTGTATCAACTGTTAATATCTGTTTTTTATTTATTATTCTAAGATAATATTTTTGTTTTTTATCAATCGTTTAACCATCGTATTATTAAACAATGAATAAATATATAGTTACTAATGTGTTGCAAACAGAATAATTAAATAGCATCGACATATTATTCTTTGTTTATATTTTCGTCGTCGAATATAATATAACGAATGTCTAATCAAGGTATTTTTAAAAAGATATAGGAGAAAAACAAGGTTAATCACGTACACGTTGCTTTATTTTAGTGTATTTTTCGTTTTTGTTTGTTTGTTTGGTTTTTCTTTTGGAAAATTGAAGGATGAGGAAAGCTGCTTTAGTGACCAACTGTGGAAAAGATTTTTCGATGCAATAAGTGCCAATTATTGAAGTTGAACAAAACGATGTTTTCGTAATAAATATTTATTATCATATAAATAATTCAAGTTTAGCATTGATCAAACGAGATTAGAAACAATTATTTTAGTTAGTTCGATATGTTTTTTTCTGTTTTTATTTTTGATAGATTTGACTTGTCGACTTCTTTTGACACGATTTTTGCATTATTAAAAAAAATTGTTGGAATAGTTTAATTCCAGTTGAATGTTGATGATAATTTTAAAAAAAAAACGAGGATATGATTTTTGTATACCTTCGATTGAAAAAATTAGTCATCATTTAGAATATTGTTTAGCTGATCATCATATTATTTGTAGAAATCAAATAAATTTAACACTTTAAATAATTAATATAGTCTTCAGTAGAATTTTGTTAAATGTATTCGAATTTTCAGATAAAAACTTGTTTAAATCATAGATCGATTATCAAATATTTAACCAATTCATGCATTTTATTCATCATTCAATATATGATATTATATTTTCATATATAAGAATGTCTTGCAATTAGTTATAGTGTAGCAATTCAATATCTAATATTATCTATAGTTATACTAAAATCATAGATTAACATTGGAAAAAAAAACAAAACTTTCTGAAATATAAGAATTTTAGAAAATTCTTCAATATTGATTTATCATTTATTATAAATAATAATAGTTGAGTTATACTTATTTGAAAAATTGAGATGAAAATATTCTTTGTTTATTAATATAAATATATCTTTTTGAAAACAATCAATTTATTATCAATATATATATATATATTATCAGAGATTTTTATTATACTTTATTAATATTGATGAACATTTATAAATAAAATAGTTATACCATTTTGATATTGAACAAGGAGTTCGAATCATAGTGAATAGATGATGAGATTTTTAATAAGCTTAACAATGAGATAATCTTCATAAAATAATATCAATGAAATTAGTCAATAATACATTAAAATATAATATTAGTAACAGTTAAATAATATATTTTATTTCGATAGTTTACTTCAAATTTTCATAAATAAACATTAAATATGATCTAGTCATTCGTAACTATAGTGAAACTAATATGTGTTTTTTTTTTAGTAACTATGTTGACGTAAAAGGACAATTGTATCTTTATATTATATATATATATTTGCTTTTTCTTTGTTGTTTATTACTCTTTCGATATTTATTCGATTAATGAAGCATGTCGTTAGTTTAGTTTTCTCTTTCGATTTGATTCTATCGAAATTTTCTGTATATATAGATTCTATATTATTTTTTATTTTTAACTGATGTGACTATTTATTATAAATTAAGGAAATATTCTGTGTAACTATTCTAGTCACTGATAATAGAAACAAAACATGATTACTTTAGATTTTAGGTATATTCAACTATATTTTTTATTAAATATTTCAAACAGGATAAATGGACAGCAGAAAAATTCGAAAACAACGAAATTCGACGGATTTAACTCCAAAAGGTTTGTTATATTGAGTATATGTTTGATAATAAATTATTTTTAAAATAATATATAGAATTGGCCATGTTAAGATCAGTTTCACATTTAAGTGATAAAGGTAATTGACATTAATTATATTAGATTTCGAACTTTTTCTTTTTTAATGTTAATTTATTATTATTTTGTGCATATTTCACATAATTGTAAATAGAAATCAAATTATGGCATAATGTATGTTGAATTAATATTATTTAAAATGTTAATAATAAATATAATTAAATAAAATAAAATAGGAATTTCTTCGTAAATATCCAACGGGTAAAATCGATAAAGATAAATTTATTGAAACTTATAAAGAACTTTATCCTCAAAATGATACACTTTTTTCATGCAAGTATGTTATTATCATTTGTTTGTTATCGATGAATATATAAATGATTCTTTCTTTATTTTTTATTGTTTTTAATATAAAGTACCTTATTTGATGTAATAGATACAAATCATGATGAAACAATTGATTTTAATGAATTTCTTTTTCTTGCTGCTGTTGGTAATCGTACTGGTAGTTTAGAAGAACGACTTGATATTGTATTTGATTTGTAAGTTTATTAATATATAATATAATTGAATATAAATTGTTAAATATTATTTAGATGGGATGTATCTAATGATGGACTTCTTGATCAAAATGAATTAGCTCATCTTATATCAGCTATGGTATTATTTATTTAATTATATATAAACGATATTAATTTATTTTATTTCATATTTAGTATGATCGTGCTGGAGTAAAGAATCGTCAAGGTGATCAAGATCCACATAAACGAGCAAAAGAAATAATTAAAAAACTCGATATAACTGGTGATAAAAAATTAAATAAAGATGAATTTATAAATGGGTATATTTTAAAAGATAATTTATTAATATTAATATTTATTTTATTTCTTAGATGTAAAAATGATGAAGTAATTAGAAAACTTCTCATCCCTGATCCTTAAATAATTTAAACGAATAAACAAATATAACATTTTATTATTTATATTTTATTGTTTTTTTTAAATCAATTAAAATCGAATAATAATATCATCAATCTATTCAAACAATCAAGATTTATTTAGTTTTTTTGTTTTTTATTCATTGATTCGAAACTAATTATCATGGAAATTAATTCTTATTTTATTCTAATCTTCGTACTTTGATGGTTAACTAGAAATAAATGAGAAAATATTTAATCATTTTCATCTGAATAGTTCGATTTCGAGATGAAAATTTAATTGATTTATTGAAAATAAATCTATCAACAATCTTTGCATTTACAAGAGTTGACAACCTAAATTAATAAATCGATATATTACAATATAATAATATATCTATATATATAACAAGATGAATTAATTATTTTAGAATATTCCACTAGTATTTTTCGGAAAATAATGCAGAAACAAGATATTTGTTTGATCTATAAAATAAAATCATATTATTCTATGATATTGATATATTAGATTTGTCTTTTACATTATAGTAAGACTAGATTAACATTTTCTGAATTTCTATGTGTTTTGTTTGATATTTAGTGAGGAAAAAAGCAAACAATGTTTCTATTCATTGTTCTATAGATAGATGTTTATTTAACAATAATCATATAATGTGTAATAATATTGGCATTTGAGAATATTTCTATCTGAGATAAAATGTTTTTCGAAGTAGCATTGGAAATGCAATATGTTAGTAATGATTTCCTGTAATTATAATGTGTCAAATGAGCTACTTTAATATAGAGAATAAAAAAGAACCATTTCCCGTCTCGATTTATTAAAAGAAAAAAAAAGCCAGTTATAGATAAATATATATTGTTAGTTATAACTCTGAAAAAGTAAGATAAGATTTTTTTTTTTTTAATAAATAAAATGATTGAAAAAACTCGTGTTGAATATTGGTCATCAATAATTCAAATATTAATTGATTTATCAAATTTAATTGAACAACTAATTATTTATTTTATTGTAAAACAAGAATCAAATAATAATAATAATAATAAATATGAAGAACGTTTATTTTTTTTTGTTCTTTTAATAATTGGTCTACTTTCGAATCTTCCATCAGCTAGTTCTAATCTTTATATTCGTACAATTGGTTCAATATCAATTGAATTTGGTGAACTTTTATCATATTTAGTTTTTTTAAAAAATTCTAAAAGTCTTATTATTGTATCATTTATATCATTTAGTATTGAAGTTTTATTACATTCTATAAATATATTTATTGAATATAAATCAAATGAAATAAAAAATAATGTTTTTATTTTTGGAAAAACAACTTATCATAGAATAAAATATGTTCTTATACGTTCAATTAGTTATTCAATATTTAATGCAACATCAATATTATTTTTATTTCTCGATGATAAATCAAGATTTCATTATAAATATTATGAAATATTAATATTATTAACATTTTATTTTCCAAGTATTGCATTAGGACCAGCATTAGAATCCATAAGTAAATATAAATATGAATATGATCAAGGTCAAATTCCACAAGTAACTATTTTTCTTGTTTGGAGTTTAATATGTGCTACACTTTATTTTATAATGTATTCTATACCTCTTTCAATAACGGGTATCATTTTTTCTATACAACAATTACGAGAATTAAATTATCCATATTATAAATATGATTTTATTGTTTATATATCATCATTTTGTTTTTTTTCAATTGCTATTATTATTTTTCCTCCTTTTATGTTTTGGTGGTGGAAATTTACATTTCAAAGATTTAAAAAAATGCGTATTGATGCTAAAAGACGATTAAAACAATTAAATCAACAAGATTCTCTATATTATTTTCTTTAACACATATTTCATTATTCATATTAAATAAATATTAATTAAAATCAGTTAAAAACTATTCTATGTATTATCATTCTTAATCAAATATCTTGAATATTAATATTTTAGCTATTTTCATTTAGCTCTCAAAAAAAACAAAACTCGAATATAAAACATTTTTATTTTTTGATTTCGTTTCTTAATAATATATAAATCGTCTTCTGTTTTTCTTTTTGTTAAATTTTCAAGTACATACACTTTTGTTTGAAAGAAAATAATTTCAAATAAACATAAGTCGATATGGAGATGTTATCTCATTATTATCAGTGAATATATGACATCTAAGTTTTTCAAGTAAATACTCATATGATCAATCACTTATTGGTTTTTATTATCGTATATATATACATATATATTAGTAAGAAAGAATGGAAAAATGAAAAATAATTTTTCGAAACCTAAACGAGAGGATAGCTAAGATATTGATCATTTATCAAATAGACAGACTATTAACTAGATTTTCTCGATTTTTTTCGAATAGAATTAAAATCAATTAATAAATCACTTTTTATTTGATTTCGAATGTTCATGCCGAAATCGGACAATTTAAAAGAGTGTACTCTCTCTTTTTTTTAGTCTATCTATTCTATTATTTTCAAAATTTTCATCAACATGATTTATTAATCTGTTTAGTGCGTAAGACTTTAAGTTTAAATTAATCTATTATATATTCAATATAATCATAATATAATTATTTGTTAATCGTATTTATATTAATAAAAAATAAAATCAATTTTCTGAAATATTCTAAGGAAATAATACCGTCTCGATATAGAATATAATATATATCTAGCCAGTATTGTTAAAATAAATCGATTAATATGATTTATATCAAATATAAGTTGACAATTATTTCTAATAAATTTTTAAGTCTAATTTAATTTAGCTTAATTATGTTTATATGATCATAATATTATTTAATAAATAATAACTTGTTTAATAAATTTGACCATTCAATGAAAATCTTCTTTCTAAACTTCTGTGATAAAACTAATATAATACCATTTCATTTATGACTAGAAATAGTAATTATATTAATTAATTGGAAATAAATGTCTTCACGATTTAGTTTTTAATTATTACTGAAAAAGATAAATAAGAATATATATAGAAATAGAAACAATTTATCCCATAAAGGCAGTTTATTTGACAATCTCGAACAACAACAATTAGAAATGATATTTATGATAAGTATCTAAAATAATCTCATAAATAAATTTATAAATTTTTCAAAATAATAAAAAGAAAAGTCTTTTCTTGATTAGTAATAATAGTTTTATGTATATGGTTAAAACTAATCAGTTATTCCCAGGTCGATCGTTCCGGCCACCGGATATTGCAGGAACCGGCAGGAAAATGCGGGAAAAATCACCGTATCCTGCAGGAAAACACCGGAAATAGCCGGAACATGGAAGCAGTAGTCCGGCCGGAAATTCTCCGGATTTTTTCCGGTGAATTCCGGCCAATTTCCTGTGTTTTCCGGCAGGAACCGAGCGGAAAATCAGCGAAAAAAATTCCGAAAATTTCCGGCCGGAATACTGCTTCCATGTTCCAGCTAGTTCCGGTGTTTTCCTGCGGGAACCGGCCGGTACTTTTCGACCTGGGTTATAAAGATAACTGATTATTATAGAATATGTTTTGAAATTAAGATAAATATCGATCAGTGAGATAGATTTTCTTTAACGAATGTTTACATATAAAAATATGGTGTCAGTCTATAGATAAGTGAATCGACTCTTTCGATGAACATTAATTATAAATAGATGTTGATGAAATGGCGCTGAAACTCTCTTTCACTTATTCGTATATATGATGATAATCGTCTTTAATTATATATTAAATATTAATAGAGCAACTGAATATGGTATATACCTATATCAATGCATTTAAAGAAATTAATTACATTTGAATAATCATTTTAATGATAGGTAAATAAATATATTGTTTAGTTATTGAAAAAAAATTCTTTTTTGTTTTTTTTTATTAACAGTAAAACAATTCGAAAACATTAAATCAACCTTGTTTTTTCATATGTTTATCAATAATATATTTTTAAATTCGTCTGAATATTGTAATTCTTGCTGTTTTCTCTTTAGACAGTTCAATTGTATTGTATAAATTAGATTGATTGATTGATGAAATTAAATTAAATTTAACATATCCTGTTGATAAAACTTATTTCTATGGATAATGATCATGAGAAGAGATTTTATCAAACAAAAAAAAAGAAGAAAATATTCATTATATCTATAGAATAGATATAAAAAGAAAAAACGGCGAATGAATGTTATTATTGTCTGACGAAAACGAAACGAAAGGATAAGAATCGAATATGTTATTTGTTATAAATTGTTAAAGAACGTGATTAAACTACGTCGTTTTATTTTTTTCCTATTATTTAGAATAATGTTTGCTTGAATAAATCTATCTATTGTTTATTTCGTGTTTTTGATTTATTATTTTTTATCGAGGGGGGAATTCATAGACACAACAAACCTGAATTTAATTCATTTATTTTTTTCTTTTTCATATGATTATATTTATTTAAATAAGATTTATTCTTGATAATATATATATATTAACGTTAATATAATATAACAATGAAAGAAGATAATAATGAAGAAGAATATGAAATTGATGTTGATGTTGATGTTGATGTTGATCCAACTGATGATCAATCATCAATAAGAATATCAAGAAAAACAGCATCAATACCTTTCTCGAATTTTTATGTTAGAAAACGAACATCATCAAATAATTCATCAAATCAATTTAAATTAAATGAACAATTAGCAAATACATCAAGTAAATATTGAATTTATTTTTAAAATAAAATAAACGAAAAAATCTTATTTAATTCCTAAAATAGTTAATAATGTTGATGAATCATTATTTGAATTTGATATAATTGATATACCAGTTCATAAACCTCGTATTGAACGTTCTCAAATTTATAGAAATGTTCGTGTATCACATGTTGATGAACATTTATCATTTATTTATATTATGCTTAATGAAGATTGGTTATCTGCAACAAGAATGTTAAATGATAAATTTCAACAGGCTATTTTGGATAAACAACCAACGATTGATTTTTTAACGTAATATTATTATTATTTATTTTAATTCTTATTTGTTGTTTTGTTTTGTTTTGTTTGATTATTATTTAGATTAAAAACTGATGGATATTATATGTGTAGAAGTCAATCATCATGGTTTCGATGTCGTTTATTAACAAAAGCTAATTTAATAACAGATGAAAATAATCTTATTACTGTTCATTTAATTGATTGGGGAATGGAAAGACAAATTCCTCTTTCCGGTTTGATTTCATTTTTATTTATTTATTTATTTATAAGAATTTATTTTATTTTAGATATTCGTCAAATGCCACAATCGTAAGTTTATTCAAATAAATATTGATTTCTATTGAATATAATAGAAATCTAATATATAATTATCTTATTTATCTTGTAAAAAAAACAAAAATATTCTATTTCAAGTCTGAAAAATTTCTGATTAAAATCTCTTCTATTCAATCGTTAAGTCGAGTGAGTATAGTCATATTTGATGATATATGTATATATCGTTATATTCGAAAAATCCAGTTATTATTTATGTAAATTTTCAATAATATTCTATCGAAAATCTTATTTTATATTGATAGTTAAAGAAATTTCTCTCTCTTTGCATATATATAAACTGATCAGTATTTTTCAATAAATAAGTTTGATATAAAAAAGTAAATATATATTAATTTCAGTTTAAGTCGTCAACCAATTTGTTGTGTTCAATGTCGTTTAGCTGGTATTTCAAATGGATCTTTGGCTAATGTAACAACATTATCATCATGTCATCAATTACTAAGTTTATTAAATTGAAAAAAAAAAAATTTTCTCTTCTAAAATAAAATATGTTTTTTTTTTTTTGTTGTTTTGTAAAGATTATCATGATTATGAAATGCGTGTTATTGAAAATGATTTAATTATTCTCAATCATAATAATGAAAATATAAATGATCAAATAATTAATTTACTTAATCAAGTTAGTTCTTATTTTAAAAAAAATAAATATTATTTATTATTAATATATAAATAGAATAATACAAATAATATGAGAAAAGAAGAATATTTAGAAGATGAATTTCGTCATCAAACAATATTAAATATAGGTGATGAATATTGGTCTGTATTAGCATCATATCGTGCTGATGATAATCAAAATAATGATTTTTATATACTTATGTCCGATAAAACAACAAATGATGTTGATAAAGCTTTAGCATCTATTGATTATCATCAATATAATGTTAAAGAACCACGTACAATTCATCCACTTTGTGTTAAACCAAGAATGTAAAATTTTTCAATATATTTTCTTTTTTTTTTACATAGCTAAATAATTACTTATCATAGATATATATGTATAAATCAAATATTTTCTATAGAATGAACAGAAAACAAATAGAAATAAATATCGAACAATTATTAATTAGTATAAAAATAATAGAACTCTAAGTTTCCCTTCGAAATAAAAACAAAGACATAAATCGTTATTTCTAATCAAGAATTTGTTTTCTATTATTTAAATATTCCTAGACAAAAAAAAATATTATCGTTGATTTATTTTAAAGTTTTGATCAATATTTATCTTGAGATAAGAACTTAAGTTATATTTAATCATCGAAATAGATTAATTTCGTTAAGTATATATGACAATAATAGATATTTTAATATATTTAAGATTATAATATAATTATAAATAAAATCTAATGAAAAAAGTTCATTTAGGATGGTTATTGCGCCATGGAAAAATGAAAAATGTCAAAATGAAGAAACAATTGGATATTATCGAGCATGGATTAGATCAATTCAAGGTTTTTGTTTTGTTTTTTCTTAAATATATATAATAAGAATAATAAAAACATTGTTTAAAGGTGAAATATGTCGAATTGTTTTTGTTGATTATGGAAATGAATGTGATATAGAACGATCAAAATTATTAGCATGTCCATCATCAGTATCATCTTTACCATGGCTTGCTATACGTGTTAGATTTCAACAATATATATCTCATGATGAATTTAAACGTTTTTGGTATAGAACTGATTCACATTGGATTAAAATAAAAGTTCTTAGAATTCATAATACACATTATACAATACAAGTTTTTATTGATTATACATCTGTTATTTTAACTGAAGATAGAAGAATGAAACTTCATTTAAAAGATAAATTAAATCAAGACATTTTTCAAGATTTAAATCAAGTTAAAACAAAATTTTTTTTCTTTTTTAATTTAATTTTTTTCTGTTTTTTTTAAAGTTAAATGATGATTTGAAAATGGAAGAACCAAAACTAATACAAGAAGATTTATCTTCATTAGTCTTATATGATATTCGAAAAAAATTAAATCAACTATCAGAGAAATTTGATGAAAATCAAAAGAAAAATGATGAACGTTATTATCGATTAATTCAACAAATTCAACATCAACAATAATTAACAAATAACAAAACAAAACAATATACAAACATTTGCTTTTCTATTTATCGTTGTATTTAATCACGATTTATCTTGTTTTTTTGTTTTTCACAATATGTTTTTGTTATTGTTCTTTTCTTTGATGAAGATAATAGATGAAATTAACTTCTGTAGCTTAATATAACATACTTTTTATTTCTTCATTAGTTATTATCCTAACAATCAAAAAGTAATTTTTCAATTCGATCAACAAAAATCATTTCATCACATTTTTATTTCAAACATAATATAACTTATCTTTTTTAATCTCGTTTATTTAAACAATTTTAAAATAGATTTATTCATTATTATTTTATTTAATCCTGAAAATATACGAATATGATGAATCTATCATTTATTCGAACGAGATATTAGTCCTATTGGCTCTTTGATTATCTATAGAAACCGAGTTTATTACACAATAATATGTAATCTATTAGGATTTTTAGTTATTATAACGACATCGAATTTGAATTTATTTAATTATCTCTTTTGAACAAATTTGTTTATTTAGTAATAAAAAACAAAAAAAAAGAATTTATCAAAGATAATATTCGATTGTTAAAATAGTTTATAAACAAGATTTAAAAGGATATACAACAGACAATGGAAGCGAATAAACTCTGGAAATTTCTTCAATATAATCATGAAGGTTTGGCATTATTTTTCAAGAGAATTCTCATCGTAATATTAAAAAAATACTCGAGCAAAAAGTTATAAACAATTCCATCGAACAGATATTTAGGATCAAATTGCTTTTTTTGACTCGATTTTTTTTCAGTATGAAATTTGACTAGTCTAAATTGATTTTAGGAACATCGAAACTGAGTGAAATACAACTTGACTAACATCAAGATTCTCAAAGCATACGAATAATGAAGATATCAACAAGAGCTTGTCAAAGTTGACAAAAACAAGTCATGATATAATTTGTGAATAATTTCCCTTGATAAGTCTTTTCTTTTACTGTCAGTAATATAAGTCTAAATTGAAAACGTCCGTTAGAAATGTTGCGTATAGGGAATACTTCTTACTGGCAATGCTTTAGCATATACTTATCAACATTAATTTAATCCGACATGAATATTTCTTTCGACAGATTTATAATTTTTTCAAAGAATTTTATCTAGTAGTATTAAGAAAATACTTTTTGAACTTATTTTATTTTGTCTTGACAATATGTTTTAATTTTTATCATGTCAAAAAAAACAAAAAAACACAAGATTATGCTCATCTGTCATTTCTCTTGCATCTAATCAAATTCAGTCAAGTTTGTAATTTTATTGTAATCAATGTGAAAAAATAAAAATAAAAACTAAAATCACGAGTCTATTCAACATGCAATATAAATATACAAAATCAATTCAAACTTAGCAAATGAAAAAAATAAAGTGTAACGTTAATCAAATTGATGTAAAGAAAATCTTCAACTTAGATATAAAATTTTATCAATTAACGTAATTTTATTTAATAAAATTAAAGAGCAAATTAGAAAAACAAAAGCAATAACAGGAGATCAGTATTGAATATTGCTTAAATAATATTTTTTTAATTAGATCTCGTATTGCTATAAAGAAAAACATGAAGATTTATCTAATATATTATTATTAGTATCAAGTTTTATTTTTTTATTTTAATAGCAAAAACAAAGTATAGATAGATATTCGGCTCATGGGACAAGAAAAAAGAAAAAGAAAGATGCTATGACTTGAAGGATATTATTAAATATAATCTTCTGTAGATTTACTTTAAAGACCATAATAATGCATGAAAATATTAGTATTATTCTTCTTCATATAATATTTTGATTTCGTTTTAGAATAGAAACATATTCTTCTTATTATTAATCTTGAAGACTGTATATAGAATGTTTACTATAATAAGTATGAATATTATTAAAATGAGAATATCCTATTAATCTTTAATTTTTATAACATTAATTACTTCTGAATTGAATCTATCATTTAATATATTCATATTTAAATGATTGCTTTAATCTAGAATGATTCGAAATATTATTAAATATATTGACTTACTTTGAATAATGTTTTTCTTCTAGATATTCTTCTTTTATAAAAGAAGAAAAATCTAGCTACTGTAATCTTACGGTCACATATGTATGAATCATCAAATCAATGTTGAAATATGAATCCATTGATGCATTGATGTTAAAACTCATTTTAAAAAAAAACTGGTATTAACAGTATATGAAATATGTCACTAATACAGATTATATTTTATATTAAATTCTTTGGATGAACTAAAATTAAAAAGTTGATTTTAATGACATCTCTTATTTGCATCATTCTCAAGTACAATATTTTACACTCTTGCTACAATCCCATTGTCATATAGTGCTATTCTTTGTATGAGACTCATCTTTCCTAAGAATAATATATATATATATACATGAAGATACTGTCTAATATAATATACTAGCGAGAACCCGTGCATACTGCACGGCTGTTTTATACTTTAACGCATCACCTCAGACATTTAACTTTTCATCCGGTAAAATACATACAGACACTCGATATTATGTATATAGATAAGTTGCCCTGCGACCTCATACTCTCATATCGCACATATTTTTATAGTTCATGCAGCCTTCGGCCTTATATTCCTTGTAGCCTTATCTCCCTATTGCCTTACTCCCTTCAGGGCCTATGCATATCACAATATAATAGCCCTTGGGGACTTATGGATACCCCCATAGGATAGCCCTTGAGGACCTATGGGTACCCCCATAGGATAGCCCGTGGGGACCCATAAGTACCCCCATAGCATAGCCCTTGAGGACCTAAGGGCACTCCCATAGGATAGTCCTTGGGGATCCATAAGTACCCCCATAGCATAGCCCTTGAGGACCTATGGGTACCCCCATAGGATAGCCCTTGGGGACCCATAAGTACCCCATAGCATAGCCCTTGACAACCTAAGGGTATCCCCATAGGATAGCCCTTGAGGACCTATGGGTACCCCCATAGCATAGCCCTTGAGGACCTATCGGTACCCCCATAGCATAGCACTTGTGGACCTATGGGTACCCCCATAGGATAGCCCTTGAGGACCTACGGGCACCCTCAGAGGACAGCCCTTGGGGACCCATAAGTATCCCATAGCATAGCCCTAGAGGACCTAAGGGTACCCCCATAGCATAGCCCTTGAGGACCTATCGGTACCCCAATAGGATAGCACTTGTGGACCTATGGGTACCCCCATAGGATAGCTCTTGAGGACCTACGGGCACCCCCATAGGATAGCCCTTGGGGACCCATAAGTACCCCATAGCATAGCCCTTGAGGACCTACGGGTACCGCCATAGGATAGCCCTTGGGGACCCATAAATACTCCATAGCATAGCCCTTGACAACCTAAGGGTATCCCCATAGGATAGCCCTTGAGGACCTATGGGTACCCCCATAGGATAGCCCTTGAGGACCTAAGGGTACTCCCATAGCATAGCACTTGTGGACCTATGGGTACCCCCATAGGATAGCACTTGAGGACCTATGGGTGCCCCCATAGGATAGCCCTTGAGCACCTATGAGTACTCTCATAGGATAGCGCTTGAGGACCTATGGGTACCCGCATAGGTAGGCCTTGTAGACCTATGGGTACCCCCACATAATAGCCCTTGGGGATCTATGGGTACCCCCATAGGATGGCCCTTGAGGACCTATGGGTACCCCCATATAATAGGCTTTGGAGACCTATGGGTACCCCCACATAATAGCTCTTGGGGATCTATGGGTACCCCCATAGGATGGCCCTTGAGGACCTATGGGTACCCCCATAAGATAGCCCTTGAGGACCTATTGGTACCCCCATAGGATAGCCCTTGAGGACCTATGGGTCGCCCATAGGATAGCGCTTGAGGACCAATGGGTCCCCCATAGGATAGCCCTTGAGGACCCATAAGTACCCCATAGCATAGCCCTTGAGGACCTATAAGTACCCCATAAATAGCCCCTGGAGATCTTCCCCTTATAGGCTTATGTGACCTTTAACCTTTGACCTTTGACCCGGCACAGACAGACACTGAACATTATATATATAGATTGCTTGTTCATTTGTTAAATTCGAGTAAGATCTATTTTGATTGATTTTTAATCCATTGTGCATCAAAAGCAAAATAACAAATAAGATATTCAAAATCATAAAAAATTATATCTAAACTAGTTAATTGATCAGCAAGCCAAAAATCAGCAAATGTAACTGTATGAAATGGTGCTGAAAATATTCGAAATAATTCTTTACAAAACCAATATCGTGCTGAACGATGCATTATATTTAAAGGATTAAAAAGAAGAAATATAATTAAAAAAATAAAAATCATTGGTTGCCAATGTGATTCTAATCGATGATATTCACAAAGAATAAAAATTATAGATGAAATAATCCATATTAATAATTAGACCCTGGACAGTTCCATATCAGTTCCGTTTTTGAGAACTGTTCAAACAGTTCTTTGATAGGAACTGATCTGTCCAACCAGTTCTTTTAAAAGA